AAAGGGTCCAAAGATAGTGAAATAAATTTGGTTCCTGATTTGAGGTTAAGTGGTCTTTGGAATGAGTTGTCGGGTGCAATTAATTTAGTTGCCCACCATAGTGACAGTTTACTGTGTAGTGTCAATAATAATTGCGCTGAAGCTTACAATAGTGTTATAGCAAAATACGTTGGAGGCAAAAGGATCAACTATTCCCTACGAGGTTACTATAAATATTAAATATCTTATAAATAACTATAATTTTGTAAATATTAGCATAATGTATATTTCAATAAATAATAATAAATTATTTTGACTGCAGTGGGTGTAAAATATTTTATAAAATATTTTTTTTTCAATTTATACACGAATAATTTTATAATTTTTAGGATCTTATAAAACACGATGTAACACCGCGGTGATATCGTATAACTATGGTCCTGATTACTTACACAGGCTACACAAAAATGCTACTAAAATCAGTCCTGGTCAATTTACTAAAAAGTATATAGCAATCAAAAATAAAAAAAGAATCTGTGAAACAAAAAGACAACTTGAATTTCGGTAAAACGTAATATTTTATGTTATGTAATCTTTATCTATAAAATATTTTTATTTTTAGCAATAAATTTAATAGTAAAAAAAAAAAATACGTTAGCTGCAGGTCCTGATAAAGATTATGGTGATGTTGATGATATTGGTTGTAGTGTTCTTAATTTAACGGAAAAAGAAGTTGAAGAAAAAAAACAGAATTTATTAAATAGCCTTAAATTAAACTTAACAGAAATAAAATCACTAGAAAGACGTACTATTGGCCAATCTTTAAATGAAATTTGGAAACAAGAGCGAAAATTTAGATTGACGGCTTTAAATTTTGGACGAATTTGTGCTCTGCGACCAACAACATCCAGAACCAATACATTAAAATATATATTGTACACAGTGGAGAATTAGTGGGTACAACAGCTGCGATGAAGTAAATATTGATAGGTGTAGCACATTTTTATAAAAATTTAAATAAATTCATTCAATTTAAAAGGTATGGTATTGAATACGAAAGTATAGCAAAAGATACTTTTGAAGCTATAACCAATTTGAAAATTATGCCTTGTGGAATATTTGTTGATCAATGTTCAAATTTTTTGGCTGGAAGTCCAGATGGTATCATAGGAGATTATGGTATAATAGAAATCAAATGCCCTTCTAGTATAAAAAATACTACCCCACAAGAAGCTGTTAAACTGAAAACTATTAAATATTTAATTATCAATAAAAAAGGGGAAATAGAATTAAAACGTACTTTTCCGTATTATTATCAGGTGCAAGGGCAATTGCACATAACTCAAAGACAGTATTGTTTTTTTATAGTATAGACTCCAAATGGTAGCTATATTTATATTATTTTTATGTTTATATATATTTAAATTCACTATAGATTAGAATTTATAGAATTTTCATTTTGGTTACATATTTTAATGTTTTATTAATATTTGCAGGGTTATTCTTTGAGAAAAATCATTCGTGATGATAATTTCTGGAAAAACAATATGGAGAAATAACTTAAATCATTTTATATGGATTATATGCTTCTCGAAATTATTGATCCGAAAATTGATGTCACATCAAATTGTTACCGCAAAATGTGTCATTGATAATATGTGAACTTTTGAGTTATATTTATTGAATATTTCAATATCAAAACATTTATAATAAAAGTTAGTTTTTAAAATGTAATTGTAAAAGTATATATTATATGCTATAAATTATGGTATATTTTTAAAACAAAGGTAAAATTAAATTTTCAATCATTAGTAAATATAAACTATAAGTACAAAAATATATTTTACTGTTTGTGTTTTGTTTTATAATAAGAAAAAGATTTGTTTCTTTGGACTATTTTATTCTATATATTATTTCGCACATAACATACGTCATTCACTCAAACACCACAACTCTACTCATAACTCACTACTCGTGCTAATAAGTTATATTGTTATGTTACATATTAATTCCCACTTTCTAAGTACATATATATTATAGTTTTATCTTATTCGTGTGTGTGCTCATGTGTGTGTGCGTGTTAACTATTAACCTAGTATATATAACAAGTAGAAATGTTCAAATTATTGTTTAGATGAAAATAGGAAAACGAAAACGAGTTCATTGTTAACATTTACGAATTTACGACAACTACCTACAGTCTATAATTTGTATATTCAATAATTGCAACAATAGGTGCATGAGCAATGAGGCTCAAGTCTCCAAGTATATTCAATTTACAATATTATAACACATAGGCGCCGCCAGGAATTTTATCAGGGGGGTGCATGTGCATGTGCAAAAAGGTAGGTATACGCTTATTTCTAAATAATGCTTATATACGTAATAATAATAATGGTAAAATACGTAAAAATATTTTTTCAAATTGTATGACGATACAAAGTTATTTTAGTTTTTTTTAACGACTACAATGTAACGCGGGCTAGTGATAATGATTAGAAAACCCAATAATGACAATAGTAGCCTTTATCCTACACGAAAACTCGTAAGCTTATCGCATGCGATAAAAATGACCGATTTATATATTGAATATACACTGTATATTATACACGTGACAACTGACATGTCCTATACATCCATCGACACTACACGATAAAATCTGAATCATTATTAGTCGACAGTCGTGTATCCGTGTGTGTATATCTCAACGTGCATAATACCAAATACGCCATATATAATATATTATTTTAGTTCTTACGTAAAATTATTAATATATAAAAATGAGTGACATACGAAATTTTTTGCAAAAGAAACGCAAGATAGAATTAAGTCCATCAAGTATAAATGAAGGCAATCATGACATAGGTGATTTAAGTAATTTAAGTACTAATATTTCTAATAGTAGCCAACAAAAAGAAGAACCACAACTTCTTCATCAGTTGACTGTTGGTGCTAATAAATTAGATATTGGACTGTATTTGAATTCCTATGTTGATGACGAATTACGTTTAAAGTTATTGAAGGACCCCTGGGTTCCTTCAAAAACATATGACTTCAAAAAAGATTTGACCAACGGCTCTACGAGAGTATTTCGTATAGAATGGTTTGCACTTTATCCATGGCTAAGTTATTCAGCTGTTTCTATGTCGCGTTTGTGTATTATTTCGACCTCGAGTACATAGAGGTGTTCAAGGAGCATTCATTGTTTCACCATGCATAAAATATCAAAAATTTAACGAGGTTTCAAAGGCTCATGAAATTAGTATTTGGCATAAAGATGCAATTAACGCATCACAACATTTTTTAAACTCAAAAGAGAGAAAACAATTGAGTGTTCATGAGCAAATAGATTCGGCATTTAATAGAGAAATAGAAGAAAACAGGTTGAAACTTCGTTCTATCATATCGTCAATCTTATTTTGTGCAAAGCACGATCTTCCACTAAGAGGTAAAAATGACGAAGGTTCAGTTTTTACAGATTTATTACAATTCCGTGTCGAATCGGGGGATGAAATTTTGAATAAGCATTTAAAGTCTGGAGCTAAAAATGCGTTGTATATCTCACATGAAGTTCAAAATGAACTAATTAAAACTTGTGCTAATGTACTTCGACAAAACATTATTGAAGAAGTGAAACTTTCATCTGTTTTTTCGGTCTTAGCTGACGAGACTGCCGATATAAGTGGCACCGAACAATTGTCAATAGGTGTTCGGTATTTGTTTTACGACGTTAAGTTTCAAAAACACAAAATTTGTGAAGAATTTTTTGGTTACTCGCCTCTTACAAAACTAGATTCTAAATCCATTGCCAAAACCATCATTGAATTTTTAGAAAGTTGTAATTTAGATTTGAATCGACTTGTGGGCCAAGGATATGATGGATGCGCTACAATGGCTGGGCATATAAGTGGCGTTCAAAAATTAATTAATGAAGCTTATCCTATGGCGCTATTCTTCCATTGTACTAGTCACGTATTAAATCTTGTATTTAATGATTTAAATAACGTAAGTGAAGTAAGAAATACAACCGGGATCATAAAAGAAATAATAAATTTTTTTAGAGAGAGAGCACATTGCGTAGACAAATTATTCCCAATATTCCTTTACTATGTGAAACTCGTTGGTCAGCAAAATATAAGAGTATTAGAATTTTTGCTGACAATTTTATTGTTATTGTCAAAGCTTTGGAAGAACTATCAAAAAGTACAGCAAATTCAAAAACCAAAATTAAATCATATCAACTCTTTACTGCTGCTACTACACCAGTTTTTATTGTTACATTGCAAGTAATAGCTGTTTATTCCGCTAAATTTGAACCAGTATGCAATCTACTTCAACAAGTTAATATAAATTTGAAAACGGTGAACAATCACATAACCAAACTAGTTGATATTTTGCAGTTGTATAGAAATGATTCGTCGACTGAATTTTCCGTATTATTTGCAAAATCTAAAGAAATCGCTGAAGAACTTGATGTTGAAATACGTCCACCTCGAGTAGCTGCACGACAAAGTCAAAGATCAAATCATCCATCTACAAACCATGAAGAGTTTTTCAGAATATCCATTTTCGTTCCTTATCTTGATTCAGTTATATCATCATTAAAAGTTCGCTTTTCTAAAATTCACAATCAATCATTTTCTCTAATGGATCTTCATCCCTATGCTATGAAAAACATGAGTAAAGAACAGTTTATTTGCACATCAAATGATATTGTAAAACTCTATGGAAATATTTTGTCATCAAATTTTGTAACTGAAGCCACAACATGGTATGAAATGTGGAATAATGATACAAAACCATTAGATTCTATTGAATACTTAGATTTGATCGAAATGTCACAAGATTTCTATCCAGCTGTAGCCGACGCAATCAAGATCGGAGCAACTCTTCCAACAACAACCTGCAGCATTGAACGTTCATTCAGCACTTTAAGACGAGTTAAGACATGGAACAAAGCCACTATGAATGATGACCGATTGTCCGGATTGTGTATGATGAGTGTACATAGAAAAAGACTAGGAGAGGATACCAAATTCATTGAAAATGCAATTGAAGAATTTGGAAAAAAACCTAGGCGTTTACAATTATTATTTAAAAAATAAGTATTATAATACATAATATAAATAATATATTATATAGACAATGTTAGAACGATACAATGAAATGAAACGAAACGAAAACACTCTGAGTTTTTAAAGTTTCACTATATTATAATAAAAACAAAGAGTGCGGAAGAAGTTGCACGACGCCACGACACGACGGAGCACGACAGGGGAGGGGGCTTATCGAACGGTGTGTCGACCGTTGCAATGCCGGAATTACTCTGACTATTGCACCACAGGGTAGGTGACTGATCGATGCAATGCCAGAATAACTCCAACTATTGCACCATTGACCGAGTCACAAACCGTTCGACAAGTGAGGTCTGGGAGGCCGCCTTTCCTATTTGCGCAAGTCTGCCCGGGTGGGTCTTACTACAAAGTCGGAAAGACGGAGAATGGTTTTGATGGTCGTGTCGTGGGGCCTTTTATACCCGGTCTATCGGCAATTACCCCGGGTCGGTCTCGTGTTCTGTGACGAAAAGCACGAAAAACCCAATCGCTAACTGCCGATAGACGTACAATTTTCGGGATAAGTGCAAATGTCCATAATTCTCCACGCACATTACCCAAATCATAATTCAGATAATCATGCGTGGAAAATACAAACACCTGCACTTATCGCGCACAGCGCATACAATAATCAGATAATAAATTTGTCACGCAATGAAAACAATAATATAAGAATATAAAATAATAAGAGAAAATAAAAAATAAAAATAAAATAGAACATAATAAGAGTATGCGTAAACATCACCGCCCACTTTGAAGATATGTCTTCAAGGAGTTGGTAGCGGACAAAGTTTAACGGCTGGCCGAGTCAGGATTCCCGAGGTGGTTTGGACAGTAGCAACGCGGGAAATTCCATCTGATCCAGGATGCAGGGTCAAGATTCGTCCAAGGCGCCAATGAAGTGGAGGAGTAGCTTCCCGTATGAGAACCAGATCACCAATTTTCAATTCTCCATGATTTTCCAACCATTTGCTGCGGATTTGTAAGCTCGATAGATATTCGTTTCTCCATCTTGTCCAGAAATAGCGATGTAGGTCATTGATGAGACGCCATCTCTGCAATTAGACAGAAACACGAGAAGATACCCGGTGAATCAGTGATTACACCAAGTCGGTCTCGTGTTCTGTGACGAAAAGCACGAAAAACCCAATCGCTAACTGCCGATAGACGTACAATTTTCGGGATAAGTGCAAATGTCCATAATTCTCCACGCACATTACCCAAATCATAAATCATGCGTGGAAAATACAAACACCTGCACTTATCGCGCACAGCGCATACAATAATCAGATAATAAATTTGTCACGCAATGAAAACAATAATATAAGAATATAAAATAATAAGAGAAAATAAAAAATAAAAATAAAATAGAACATAATAAGAGTATGCGTAAACAGACAATATTGTAAAATAAGTATAAATGTATAATAATAAATAATAGAAATAATGTAGATAATTATGCAAAATAAAATAGTTTTAATACCATTCAATTTTTTTAATTTAATTTTTTAATTTTTTTTTTTTTTTTTCAAGCCAAGGGGGTGCAAATGCACCCCCTTGCACCCCCCTCACGGCGCCCATGTTATAACATGCAATACTATGTTTAACAGGTTAACTGCCATGTGTACCCAGTGGTTGAATTGGGGGGGGGGACGCAGGAGGACTCAGCTACTCTTCATTTTTCTTCATATTATTGCGTACCCCTTTATTCTATTTATCAAAGAACGCAGGAGAACGCAGCGTCCTTCGACATTTTTATGAATATAAAATTTTCTTTTAAAAAATAAATACGAAAAATATTGGAAAGATTAACATTTAATTTAATTTTTGGTATTAGTTTTTAAATCTGTATGTTAGGATATATTAAGAATGCAATAATAAAATATTATATATTTATATAATATTATACAACACGTATCAAGTGTTTCCACCACATATTAATTCGTGGTATAAGAGCTAAAAATATAATATAACGTTTACGAAAACTCCCGGGTGTTCCACCGTGCCGACGATAACGATCTATAGTAGACCACTGACAATGGGTAATAAATAATAATATAATATAGAGTTCGTATTTGGAGAATCCGTCTGTTGTTTTCGTTATCGACGATTGACGAATGACGATCGTTTTCTACAAAAATTAAATATCATTTATATTTAATTTGGAAACAGGGCACGCTACTAATCGGTATTATGTTGGCTTGTTACTGTTGTAATGTTTTGTAAATTGTAATTTTATTGAAAATACTAAATAATAAAAACCGCACTCCTGGAGTCCTGCACGTCACGTCGGAGCATTAAACTACCTATACGGATTTGTTTTATTTTATATAATTATGAATAAACGTCAACAATTCTCCATATCGGACTTCTTCAATAAAAAGAAGAAAAATGACCAAGGTAATCTAAACATTTTAATTAAACAATAATTATAATGATCGTTATAATAATATAATATATTTAATAAACTCCCAAACTCCAAAGGCATAAGGTATAATAATTAGAGCCCGGATTTATATGCATTTGCATGTTTGTACTAATATATAGCAGTGGATATTTTCATTTGTTTTTGTTTTTGATTAAATGTTTAGAATTTTCTTTGGGTAAAAGTATGGTTTTTTTTTAAAAAAAAAACACATTTTATAAAATTTAACATAATGCATATAATTGCATATTAATTATTATTAAAATATTAAGATCAACATGATTTTTAAATGAAAGTTTAAAATCAAAATTAACTCCTAAGTCATTAATAATATTTATATGTGACAAGTATAAGTTATTAATGCAGTTAGTATAGTTAATACATAATGAATTTCTTTTAAAGAAAATGAAACAGTTGCATATTAATTATCAATATTTAATATCATACCGTTGTCATTGCACCATGTAAATAAATTATTTAGATTTCTTGGAGCTGTTTAGCATCATTTAAACATTTAATTTTTTTATAAATGTTGGTATCATCTGCTAATAGCAAACAGTTTTAGTTCTTAATATTTTTTGCTAGTTCATTAATAAAGAGAGAGAATAATAGTGGTGACATAATATGATCACCTTGATGGACACCTAATGTTACATTTATAGACTGAGAAAGTCATTTTTATATTTTATAATTTGAGTACAATTTGTTAAAAAATAATTTAACCATGATAAAAATGGATCATTAATACCATATAATTTAAGTTTGGAGATTACTAGACAACACAACTATACAACTATACAATTATGTAATTATACTGTGTGCATAGGTACTGTCTTATATTAGCATTTGAATTGTATTTTATAACATATTTTATAGTATGGGATAATAATACAAAATGGAAGTTGACCAAACATATTTTTCATTATATTTTTATTTTTAATAATACTGAGTTTTATCATATTTAACATTATAATTATTGACTTAAATGTAATTGGCATGTATTTTTTTTTTCAGTAAATAATAAAGACCATATTGCTGTTAACAACAGTTTATGTCAACCAATTGAATTTACAAGAGATGATGACACTCCTGAATGTTGGGACTCAAAACAAGCAAAATACTTTTGTGAAGAATATCCATGGCTGTATTTTAAAAACAAAAAGTTGGGTTGTAATATATGCCATAAAGTAAATTTAAATCTTAATAAGAATCAAGTATCTCATGTGCATGTATCATCAAACTGGATTCAATGTGACATTGTTCCAACTGGAAATAATATATCCAAACAACAAGCTAGTTTGAGGAAAAAGATCTCCAAGCATAAGTGTAGTCAATCACATATCAGTGCAGAGAACATAATTCATCGCAGTAAGCTAGAAACTATGGATTTACAAATTATAAAAAATAATAAATTACAATATGAAAGTACAGAAAAAATATTTAGAACAGCTTACTTCATTGCAAAAAATCAACGTCCATTTCTAGATATGCCTAAATTAATAGACCTACAAGCTCTCAATGGAGTTAATATGGGTCGAGTGTTACAAACCAATAAATCTTGTGCTAATATTGTTGACCATATTTCTAATGAAATGAGGCTTAAAATTTGCAATGATATTATTGAAAACAATAGAAAATTATGTATTGTTGTTGATGAGTCAACTACATTGAGCAAAAAAACAATGTTAGTTATTTGCTTAAGATGTGCTAATGGTGATTCTCAAGAAATTAATATTTTTTTTTTTTTTGATATTATTGAGTTAAATTGTACTTCAGCTGAATCAATTAAAACTGCTATAATAAATAATATGTTAAAACATGGAATCAAATTAGATTTTTTAAAACAAAATCTAGTTGGATTTGTTAGTGATGGAGCTTCAAACATGCTGGGAAGAAAAGCTGGAGTTGGTGTTTTACTACAAAAAATTTTTCCTGACCTCATTATCTGGCATTGTTACAACCATAGATTGGAACTTGCGGTAAGTGATACTATTAAAGAAGTGCAAGGTCTTAATCACTTCCAATGTTTTTTTGAAAAACTTTATTCATTGTATCACCAATCTCCCAAAAATATGACAGAACTTAATGCATGTGCTGCATCTTTAGAAAGCACTATTTTAAATATAGGAAAGATATTTACAATTCGGTGGGTGGCATCCAGCTTTAGAACAGTACGTGCAGTTTGGAATAACTATGTTGCTCTCCATAAACATTTTCAAGAATCTTCCACTGATAATAAAAGAGATGGAAAAGAAGATCTAAATATTTAGGTCTTAATAATATGTTAACATCAAAAGACTTTGTATTCAATTTAGGTATTTTATATGATGTATTAAATGAATTATCTGATTTGTCATTACAACTACAAAAAAGAGATTTAGGTTTGGCAAAAGCTCATAATATGATCGACCGAACAGTTAGAATTTTGGATAGTATGATTGAAATACATGGACCCAAACTAACAGAAGTAAATTTAGCAAACGAAGAAATGGTTTTTAAAGGCATCCAACTTCATATCCACAAAAGCGTGCAAAAGATTAATTCCAGACAATTTTTCAGAAGTATTTCAAATAATCTAAAAAGTCGATTATTTACTACTCAGTCATCACATGTTTCAAATGCTTCCTCTAACTTATTTAAAGAAACTTATGATCAATTATTAGCTGATTTAAATGTATTTGATTCAAATACTTGGCCAGACAATTTCAACATTCAGTATGGCGATGATAGCATTCGTCGCTTGTCACAAAAATTCAAAGTTGATGAAATTAGTGCTGTTAGAGGTTTTTGTGAATTTAAAGACACTCTGGATGAAAATATAGAAGACCTTAAAAATTTGACCTCTGCAATTAAAACAATTGCAATATCTTCGTCAGAATGTGAACGGGCCTTCAGTTCTATGAATGAGATAGTATCTCCAAAAAGGAATACTCTAAGTTCTGAACATATTTCATCATTAATATTCATAAATGCTGTTGGTCCACCAGTTGAACAAATAAATACAACAAAATGGATTGAATTTTGGATAAAAAAAGGAAAAAGACTTGCAACTGAAGAAAACTGTCCTAAAAGAATAAAAGCCACCGAAGAAAATTCTTATGAATCACTATGGAATCTAATAAAAGATTAAAAATGTTTGTTATTTATAACTTTTAAATAATAATTTTAATAAATACAATTTATAAGTCCCTTACATTTTTTTTGATCATACATTTTAAAGCAATACATAACCTATGATAAAAATAAGAATTATTTAACTTGCAGCACATCTAAGAATATAGTCACAGCCAGTCACAGGATGAAATAAATTATTTAACTAACGTTAAACTTCAAATATTAAAATTAATATTGAAAAAAAAAATAATATACTAATAAAAGAGGAATATTTCTTATCTATAAATTTAATATTTTTCTGTAGGTAACTGTAAAATACCTGAGTTATTTTATTTAAAATTGAAAGTTAATTGAGTAATTCATTTTATCATGTGGCTTTATACTTACAGTTTTTAGTTTTTAAATTTTTCGTACGTTTTGTTGTATTGATAGATTAATACAAATAAATACCTATGAGTATTGTTTATTATTAAATTTGTAATAGATATCTGTGTTAGTCATTGGATATATTTCATTATTTACATTTTAAATGCATTTAGGGGGTGTGGGGGACGAAGTCCCCCACGGGTTACTTTTAGACTAATTTGCTCTGGAACGCTAATTGTTCAACTACATTTATAGTCCACCTTTATTTTTTTTTCCAATTCAACCACTGGATAAATCCTCCCCCTATAGGATGAATACACACAAATAATTATAATCATTATATTATTTAAAAATTATTGTTATTGTTTTTTTTTTTTCATCCATAAGTGATTAAATTTGCAAGAACTAATATATTATAAATATATTGTATAAAATTTTCATTGGGATCTTCTATTGAAAAGTCATATCCCCCCCCCCCCCCATGACAAAAACCTAAATAGCCCACTGTATACGTGTCATGTTATTATGTCAAAACGCGTCTATTGAGAAATTGAATGAAAATTCGTCTAAAAAATGAAACGGTATGTTCCCCTAAAATCATTCAACGTGTGAAAAAAATAGGCATCGTTTTTAGATTATGAGCGGAATGATGAATGTACAGATTTACAATAATTTTTAAGAAATCGATTTAATATTTTTAGTGTAACTAAAAACGAATAACATTTGAAATGTTCACCATAAATATATTTATTTTATTATGGCATTTTTGATACAATCAAAATACTTAAGACGGTTGTACTTTAATTTCACAATCTTTAGCCTTCCTATACATGTACCCGTCAACCGGTGGCTGTTCGCCTGGCAACGGGTAGCAGAATGATCCAGGTGGCCGGTAACTGGCTGTGTATACGGTGCGGCCGTTAACTGGATCATTCGACCGGCAGTACGCGGGCAGCGGCTGTGGTGGACTTAACGTCAACGGGCTCCACTTTTTGTAATGGGAACTGGTCTTCGTCTCTTTGGCCATCCGTAGGTTCGGGCCTTGTGGCCAGGAGGCGGTGGACGGTCGTGCCAGTGGCCGCCGTCCATCTGGCTTACATTTAAAAATGTATGCTTCCGCCGTTGTGGTTTTGGTTTTCATGGCACATTCACCACCCCCCCCCCCAGTTTTTCTCTAAACTTTCCTTGGGCCCGTTGGCCCGCTGCCTTTGGGTTTCCAAGCATTTCGATACGAAGTCGTGACGCTGCGACGTTACATCTTGGATAGTGTTTTTAACACCACCCAATAACTCGTGGTCAACCGGTACCACAAAGCCGCGTCCTCACCACGTCCGGCCATTGCCGATAACTCGCACGTTGCTCGGTCGACTGGCAAATTTCTTCGGAGCCCTCTGTCCTGGGCCAGAGGCTCTCTGTCGGCGCGGCTGTTGGCCTACAGTAATTATTGTAACAAGGTTCCGGCTGCTTGTACGATTGCCTACAAC